GCCCTGAGCTAATATCCATGCTAATCCTCCTCTTTTTGCTGAGGAAGACCGGCTGTGAGCTAACATCTATTGCCAATCCTCCTCCTTTTTTTTTTCCCCAAAGCCCCAGTAGATAGCTGTATGTCATAGTTGCACATCCTTCTAGTTGCTGTATGTGGGACGCAGCCTCAGCATGGCCGGAGATGTGGTGCGTCAGTGTGCGCCTGGATCCGAACCCGGGCCGCCAGCAGCGGAGCGCGCGCCCTTAACCACTAAGCCACGGGGCCGGCCCTGTCCATGTTTTTATTGTTTGCTTCTTTCTTTTTTATTTGTAAGAGTTATCCATATACTCTGGATATTTATCCTTTGTCTGTTAAATATGTTGAAAATATTTTCTCCCTGTCTGTTGTACAAAGATTTTAAGTTTTGATACAATTGGATTTGTTGATATTTTTCTTTTGCTTTTTTGTATCTTATTTGGGAAGTCCTTTCTAATCCCAAGATTAAAAAACATTTTTTAAAAACTTGCTTCTAACTTTCTAAAATATTTAAACATGTTAAAATTTAGTCCTGTAATCTGTGGAGGTTTTTCTGTGGTTGGTGTCAGACACAGGTTTGACTTCATTCACTCGTGGTGGACTGCAGCACAGCCTCAGCCAGCACGCTGCTGCCCTCCTCCTCTCCCCGGCTCTGATTAGCAGTCACTGAGAATACACTTCACGCCAGGCGATGCAAAACTTGTTTTATGAATGAATTACTTCATTTGAACATGTATCTCCGTTTCTAGAGATGAGGAAACTGAAGCACAAAGCAGTTGAGTAACTTGCCCAAGGTCACACAGTTAGTAAGCAGTAGAACTACCACTTACACTAGTTGTTGTCAGTTCATCCTTTTGTGCACAGATTCAAAATTCCACCTTTATTATACACTAGATTTCCATATATATTTACATCTCTTTCTGGATTCCTGTTTTTCCCCATCAAGCTATTTGTCTGTTCCTGGGCCAATACCAGATGATTTATTTAATATAACTTCCTAGCATATTTTGATAGCTGGTAGGGAAAGTTCCCTCTTTTTGTTGTTCTTTTTCCAAAATGCCTTGAAGTTTCTTTTTTCTTTTTAGGAAAGAATTTAGAATCAGCAAGATACTTAATGTCCCCATGTCCCTTAAACCTTAATTTCCTTGTCTTCAAAAAAAGAGTTTATTTTAGTATGTACATTATAGTGCCTAGTACGTAGTTTTAAGTAGGTACAAAATGTTTTTTGAAAGTTCTTCAGAATGTATAAGAAAAACTAAATTTCCTTTGTGTTGCTGTTTGATTTAGGCAAGTGATTTACTTAAACTTTTCTCTTTAGTTCAACTGTGTTTAGTCTACCTTAAAATTTTTTATTATTGTTGTAAAGTGGATCTCTTCTTCCTAGCTTCTTGTTAAAGTACAGTTTCTATAATCTTGTCTGTCATCTTTTCAAAGTTTTGTGGTTTTACCAAATAAATTTGTTATCACACAGCATAGGTTATTATGTAATCCTTGGGAGATGCCCACGTGATGGACAATGGTGGGTTTTTCACATCAAAAGAAGAAAAGTGTCCCTGGTGATGATGTGTTTATTATGTTGTAGTATTCCAATTTATAGGATTACATCACATCTTCTCCTTTCCTTACAAGCTTTGGGAAATTCTGCTCTTTACTGAGGCCTCTGACTGCCAAGGAGAATAGAGGCCAACTTCAGTGGTGTGACATGGAAGACCTCTGTTGTAAATCTCTTTTCAGAGCAAACTGTCCTTAAACCATCTCAAACTTAATTGTGTTTAGTCATTAAAGTAAGAGAGCTTTCTTTCATTGCTACTGCAACATTTTTTTAAAGCTATCATAAAGAGAGGGCTTTTGTTTTTTTGTTTTTATTTTTAATAAACACTGTTATCAGCCTCTTGTAAGTTTAATAAAAATTCCTCTCAGGGTGGTTAAGCCTCTTTTTTGAGGTTTTACCTTTTGTTGATGAGATATGCTTTATTTTCTTTGTAAAGTAAGAATTTAGGGTCATGGAAATATTGGAGATAACCTAAATGTTCTGCAGTAAAATATAATTATAATAATCACACCTACCATTTGCTGAGTACTAAAAATTTCAGGTAATATAAATGTTATCTCCTTCCACTAAAAAAAAAACCATATATATATGGTATATATATAGCCTTTATGTTATAGATAATAGCTTTGTGCATACATTTTTTCATATATTTGCCGGTATATTTTTGGGATAGATTCCCTAAAAATGGATTGGCTGGATCAAAAGGTAAAGGCATATGTTACTTTGCTAGATATTTCCATCTTCCTTTTCCTAGAGCTCATACTCTCTCACGTCCTCACGACTAATAGATGAGAGCGCGCGTTTCTCTACACCCTTGCCAACGTGCTGTGTCCTTTTTGCCAGTCTGATAGGTGAGAAATGATACCTCAGTGTAGTTTTAGGTTGCATTTCTTTTATTATAGCAAGATGAACATCTTTTCATATGGGTGAGAGCCATTTGCATTTTTTTTCTATGGAGTTTTTAGCTTTTTTATTCTCTATTTTTAGAGAATAAAATTCTCTTTTATTCTATTTTTAGAAGGGCTCTTTATTTAAGGATATTCACCCTTTAAGGTTGTTTATTAGCCTGGGAAAATGCCAGGCTAATATGTTGAGTGCAAGAGCAAAATAGTAAGTTGTGTATTCAGTATGAGTCCAACTGATAAAAGCGTTTGTGTGATGTATACAGGAAAACAGATGGATGCCATACAACGTAAATGTTATCACTGATTATCTTTGGGTAGCATGAGCGTGAGTGATCTTGATGTCCTTTATTCTTTTCTTTATTTTTAAGATTTCATATAATGAGTATATTATAAATCAGGAAAAAATATTTAGAAAAATTTAATAAGACTGGCAAAAAGATGTACATTGAGTGATTATCAAGATGTTGAATAATATATTTCAAAATTTCATTTAATTTGCAATATTCATTTTACTCAATAATTGTACATTGAGTGCTGACTATGCTGAGTAATGTTCTAGGTGCTGGGGAACTAGCAGTGAACAAAACAAATACAGTCCCTGCCCTCGCTGAGCCTTCAGTCTGATAAAGGAAAAAGACAACACGTAGTTTAAAGTTTTCACTTGTCTGTATCTTGTTTGTTATTTGTACTGACTTCTGGATGGAATTTTCTTTGCTTTGAGACATAACATATAAATATGTGTGTTTTCACCCCTGTCACTTTGTGAGAAAAGTACATGTATACTTTTGGCAGAACGAACCAAAATTCTAGAATAGGGTTTCAGAGGTGAAAGGCCAGAACAGGAGCCCTCTGGCAACTTGTACTTTGGAGAAAAGCTCCTGGTTTGAGGAGTTGTCTGAGGTGTTCTTGAGAAGCTCTAGGAACTGTTAGGTAGGGAAGGAAGGTTGGAGAAACAGGAAAGAGTTAGAGATCCCCTGAAAGAGAGAGGGGAAAACTGGACCAGATATTAATATGTGGGCCCACTTTGTCTGGCTAACTCCTCTCCATTCTTCGTGGGCCAGCTCACATGTCACCTCCCTGGGAAACTGTTCCTGGCTTCTAAAGCTTGGGTGAGGATTCCCACCTGGACGTACCCCGTGTCCTGTGCTTGTTCCCATCATAGCTTTATTACAGTGTGTTATGGTTACTTTACTGGTCTGTCTCACCAGTCTGTACGGTCTTTGAAGGCAGGGACTTGATCTTATTTTTCACTCTAGCTCCTGTATAGCATAGTGTCTGGCTAGAGTGGACACTGTAAGGGTTATGTATTGCCTCTTTGGCAGAAGCAGAGATGCAAATATTTAGTAAAGTAAACATTTGCATTTGCTTAGATGATAAGGGATCTGGCTGTGTTCTTTTAGATAGGGAGTAGAGACTTTAGGGTTTGACCCTTAGGGTCCATTCTTAACCATTGGACCCTAAATACAGCAAGATGGATTTGGCCTGGTCTGGGAAGCCGGATTTGTTAGCTCTCTCAGTCTTCTAGAGTTGGCTGCTGCTTACCCTTACGTGGGAGAGGCTACCAGACGGAATCCAGTTCCCTCTGTGTTATTCCTCTGCCTCCCAGGAATTCTCACGCACATTTTGTTGGGTACAGAGCTCCTCCTCTGGACATCCCTGTTGTATGAACCTCCTTGGCGTGGTGCACAGCAGTGCTCAGCGTGGGTCAGCATATGTGTGGTCAGTGAGTGATGGGCCCTTTTCATCTCTGGCTCTTTTTGTCTCATCCTCCCAGCTCCCTCTCCCCACTGTAGCCCCACCCTAGTTCTTTGGTCTTACTCTTCTCCTTTTTCCTGTATATATATAATCTACTGCCCTAGAGCAGCCAGGCGTATCATGGGCTTTTCTTAGCTCCCCAGACCAATTGAATTTTGCTTTGGACTTTTGCCTTAGGCTGTTGAATCTGGTTAGTGCAGTTAACATTAGGGTAACCCGCTGTTCCTTTTTGCCTGGGACTGTCCTGGGAAAGCCTTCAGTCAGATGACTGGTTGCTCTGGTTCATGCTGACCTGGGAAACTGCTGCATCATCAGTGACTTGGATGATTCTGAAGCTTTGTTTTCCAGCACTTCCTTGCATTTAGCATGTACATTTTTTTCATCATAGTCTGTAAGATCAGGTAATGTTATGTCACAGGAAACGAGTAATTTCTTCCTATTTAATCATTAGCCAAAGGCCTTTGAACAATACTTGAATCTGGAAGATAGCAGACTGCTGAGTCACCTGAAGACGTGTTCTGCAGTGTCCAAACTTCCTTATGATCTCTGGTTCAAGAGGTGCTTCGCAGGGTGCTTGCCTGAGTCCAGTTTACAGAGGCAAGTATTTCTTTCAAAGACGTACTGAAGGCTTAGAGTCAGAGAAGAATCCTGGTTTTTCATGTGCTCATCCCTCAGAATATAAATTTGCTTTAGAACAATACAATAATTTGAAGCTAACTTCTCCAGCAGCTAACATAACAACACATGATTCTGCTTATTATATATACAATTAGAAATATTAGAATATTACTAATCCTAATTTAATATTAATGTAAATTAATAGTATAAATATTAGAATACAAAATTATAAGAATTGAGGGCCCTCAAAGTGTTAGATGCTGTACAATATTCACATCTGAAATAGTCTCCAGGAGTTAATATAGGCCTGGGCTTTGCTTTTCCAGAAACTTGGTAGATCCTAATCTAGAGAAAATCTTGATATTTCTTAGTTTCATCATGACATCTTTAAAGTAGCTGAAGGCAGTCAAAAATTTGAGACTCAAACTCAGATCTTTCACCCATTTTAGACATGTGTTATGGGTATTTCGGAGTCCTGGCCCTGCCCCTCCCAGACTATGATGTAGTTGAGAAGAAAGGCAGTACACAAGACAGTACATAACTAAGCATATGGAGCATAATACCAACTTTAAGAGGTGTAGGAATTATCAGAGTAATTATTTTAGAGTGGTTGCAGATCAATAACTAGTTCTTTAAGCCCCTGGAGAAGTTTAAGGAATTTGAACCACTGGAAAAATGAAATTGAATTTATCTAATTTCATACGCTTCTTTTGTTGTTGTTCCTTAGTGCGTAATGATTATATTAGCATTACAAAATATTACTAAAATCTAAACTTGGTTTAGGAGTTTCCTTTCCTTCCCCAAACGGTCAGGTTTGAAGCGTTAGGGAATAGGCATTTGGTAGATTCCAGCAAAGTGTACTTTTAGTCATCATTCCTTTTGTCCTTCCAGTGCTGATGGTGTCTGAAAGAGATTTCAAGTGGCTGATTTGTTTTGGGTTTTTTTCAGTAATTATTTCATTATAACTCTTTCTAAAGATTGTACTCAAAATAGGAGTAATTTGGTTTAATTTTGTAATTAGAGATATCTAGGTAAATGTAAATTTCAGACTCACATAATTTGACTATATCTCTTTATTTTTGCAGGGTTTGGGATAAAGTTGTAAGTGGATCCTGTAAGATCCTAGTTTTTGTAGCTGTGGAAATTTTATTAACCTTTAAAATAAAAGTAATGGCACTGAACAGTGCAGAGAAGATAACAAAGTTTCTGGAAAATGTAAGTGTGCTTTATTTTGTTGATTTTTGAATCTAGAAAGGAAGTCAGCTTAGCAAGACAGATTTTCCTATTGCATTAAATTATTTCAGAGAAATAACATAGTATATTTTTACATTATAAGAAACAATTTTTTCCCTTGAAAAAGCTTAGCTTAAAGTTGCTCTGTGGATTATAGTTTGCATCCTCTGAGAGACGATGGTCTAAGCAGTGAGACTGTCACCATGTCACACCATGAGTGTACACGTAGGACCAGAGTTTTGTCCTACTAATAGGAGGCTTGTCAAGAAAAAGAAGAGGTGAGATATGTCACTTTAGGAAGAGTAATCCTTGTTAATGGAAAAGGAATCCTGATGTTTTGGGGGATTTTGTAAGCCCTTTCATTTCTGTTACTCTCTCTGTTGGAATCCCATTTGGGTTTGTTATTGTGCTCAAGTATAAACTTAGTGCATGTTGAAAAAGGTCTAAATGAATCAGCTTTTCCCTTTCTACGTATCTTAGACTACCTTTAACTAGACAAGAGTTAGAAGTAAAGAGACTTATGCCTGAATGAATTTCACTGGACCCAAAATGTATTCTTCTTTTTTTCAGTCAGTCAATATTAACATTTGAACAGTGGCCCAGTAAATAATAAGTACTAAGTGAATGTGTGTTGAATAAATGAATCATCATCATTATAATAATTAGTGGCTAACAGTGCCAGGGCCTCTGCTAAGTAATTTTCATGGATTATCTCATGTAATCCTGTAAACAGCCCTGTGCAGTGGGGCTATCATGTGCTCCATTTTAGAGATGGGGATCTGAACCCAGGTAGCTTAGGTTAACCCGCCCAGGGACACATAGTTAGTGGGCAGTGCAGGATTGAACCCAGGCAGTCTGACACCAGACCTCCTTAATATGTCCCAGGTGGCATGTGAAACAAGCATCCTGGCAGCAGCCTTTTATGCAATCACTTTCTGAAAAACAGTGAAAACTCCAGTGGAAATAAGTTTTATATGGTGGTGAATGAGGGAGATACTGAAGTTGTAAACACTGAAATTTCATGGAGACTGGTTTGCTTGTTCACAGATTCCCCAGGACAGCTCGGATGCGATTGTGAGCAAGGCCATCGACTTATGGCACAAACACTGTGGGACCCCGGTACATTCAGCCTGAACACTCCTGATGGCTGTGGACGGTCTCCCAGGCCCGCCCTGAGCTTTCTGTTCTTGGGACCCAGGCTACTAAACTGATTGAAAGTAGAGTTCTTGCTTTGGTGCTCAAGGTGTAATTTTTTTCCAGTAAAATTATTTAATTAAGATATCTGGTGTTGCTGTGTTGTGGAGCAGCATCTTTTGGTTACACAGAAGTACACAGAATTCAACTCGGAATAGCATTTTAAAAGGGTTTTTAGAAAATAGCTCCCAGTTTTTAAAGCAGTTCAGTCAGGGTAGGTGGGGGCTTGAACAAGCTGTGCGTGGCCAAGCCTGCTTCTCCCTCATTAGCACCGAGCTACTTACTTTCTACTGTCTATTTCTGGAATAAAGAACAACCTCCTTTTGTTGACAACTCAGATTTGGCTTTTGTTGCTGCAGTGCTTGTGTAAATCTAAGCTGACTGCTTTCTGAGGCTTCGTCTTGCTAAATAGGTTTAAATAAAAGCCTTACTTTTTTTTCTCTTTGTGCCAGTTGGAATAAAGCAGTTGTTGAACAAAATGTGTCTAAATTTACCTACTAGGAGAGAGAGTACTTGCTGATATTTTGCTGGACTCATGCTTTTTCCCGATGGGACATTAAACGTTGGGTAGGCTTCAGGGAGCACTAAATAGAAATAGGAATGGGAGAAATGGCAGGTGAAGGTTAACAGCTTATGAGCCCCGGGCCATATTGCAATGCATAATGGTCACTGTTCACTGGACAGTTGCAGGCTTTGAGACTGGCGAGGGAGACGCAGCCTTTGTTTACCACTGATTCAGCTGTCAGACCTGCAGGAGCCTGGGTGGCGAGTTGGATCCTCCACCCCACCCCTCCCTCCAAAGAGGAGGGAGACCGTGAAGTCATGGAGTTATAATTCTGAGAATTCATTCTCTCCCTCATGTGTAAAATAACTGTGCATAAAGAGTTCAGAGCAAACTGAGTTGTTGAAACCAGCTGGTACTCCTTTATAGTAATGTATCCAAGAGTATTTGATTTTTTAAAACAAAAAAATACATTCAGAAGGAAACTTCTTAAAGCAAACTGCTGTCTACAGTTCATACTTCACATTTCTTCATTGCTCGCCTCTGCCCCTAGAGAACTTTCCAGCCAGTTGGAGAGATAAGAAAAAGCACATGAGAAGAGATTCCTGCTCAGTTGCCTGCCATCTGGTGATCTTGGGGCATATGTGCAATTTGCAGAGAAGTCCTAAAACCAAAATAATTTTACCTCTGTTTATGAGCTGCATATCGTTAGTACAACTTTTTAGTAAAATAGAGATGATAAAGTCAAGTGATGTTAGTGAATCTCAACTCCAAAAAAAGAAGAAAAGAATTAGCAGTCTCTCCACAAGAAGATAGTTGCAAGGGATGCGCTCCTGCTTGCTCACTCCTGAATGCTGAGGGAAGACTGCACGCCATGGAGGTGGTGTGGGGGCAGAGGGAGACGGGAGCACCCGGTACTCGTGGGGAGGAAGTTGAGGGGGCTGAAATACTCTTCTTCACAATTTTGGAGGGTCCAGATGAGCTGAAAGGGAAGACTATTACTGTACTACTAAGGGATCGGAAAATAAGTATTCTGTACCAAGTATATTCTGTCAAACTCAGTTTAGTAAAACCTTTCTAGCTATAGGGTGTGGGGTGGGCATTCTTTTTTTTAAGTGAGTCAATCTGATACTGTCAAGAGTTTTCCTATTAAAAAACTAAACAGCTCTATCTTAGCAGAAGGATTTTTGTGTGTGTGTATGAGGAAGATTAGCCCTGAGCTAACATCTGTGCCCATCTGCCTTTATTTTGTATATAGGACACCACTACACGTGTCTTGATGAGTGGTGTGTAGGTCTGCGCCCGGGATCCGAACCTGTTTATCCCAGGCCGCTGAAGCGGAGTGGGCAAACTTATCCACTATGCCACTGGGCTGGCCTCAGCAGGATTTTTTAAGGTCCACTGTGAGGACAGTGACAGAATAGGTGAGGATCCAATTTCATTTCAATTTCAGAATTTTATTTTGCTGAGAGCTAAGTATTTTGAAAATGTTTCTCTGCCCACTGCCTTCGATGAGAAACACAGCTCCTGATGAAAATACCCCCATATTCCCTTTATTCAAAACATTTTGTCAGGATCCTGCAGAATTTTTCCTCTATGTTAAAGCCCAGGGTTTCTGTTTAGCCAAAACTGTTGTGGCTAATATGTGGGGCTCTCCCTCTCCTTTGGAAAACTGGGATTTAGCATTATTTCATTTCTAATCCTTCCTTTCTACAATGTCTTCTTTTTTTTTTTTTAATTTTTTAAATTTATTTATTCTTTCCCCCAAAGCCCCAGTAGATAATTGTATGTCATAGCTGCACATCTTTCTAGTTGCCGTATGTGGGACGCGGCCTCAGCATGATTGGAGAAGCTGTGCATTGGTGTGCGCCCGGGATCCGAACCCAGGCCGCCAGCAGTGGAGCACGCACACTTAACCGTTAAGCCGCGGGGCCGGCCCTACAATGTCTTCTTAAACACAGATGAGAGAAGCTCTAAATCTGCTCTGCTAGGAGACATTGAGGGCCAAGGAAGGTCGGGGGGTGTGTGTGGCTTTTGCCTGATGACAAATTGAATTGATAAATTGTATGTACATACGTGTGTGTGTGTGTGTGTGTGTCTGAGACTACGTCAGGAAATGAGGTCAGGGTTCATTAGAATGAAATGCTTTTTTTGTTAATGGGAAGTTTGCGTGAAAATCATGGGACAACATTCAAATCACATGCTGTGCAGAAAGAGCTCTGAAGGCTCCATCCTCTGTTGCTCTGGGTGGGAGACATGCCTGCCCTGTCTTGAACTGCTTAAGAATCCTTCCTGGGCCGGCCCTGTGGCTTAGCGGTTAAGTGCGCGCGCTCCGCTGCTGGCGGCCCGGGTTCGGATCCCGGGCGCGCACCGACGCACCGCTTCTCC